CTTCTAATAGGTGCAGGCGAAACGTCAGGAGAGAATGCTTCTAGAACCTGGCCATATAGCCCGAAAAAACCTACAACAATCCAGTGATACCAGTCATGAAAGCCTTCGACAATACATTGATTTTGTCTTTTGGGAGTTGTACTTGCTGGGATTTACAGTTCACCTACAATCAAGAGCATTCTGAACTCCACCCATGATGGAATTGGGTCAAACTTGGCACACAGAAGTAGGAATGATGGGTTTTGTTGGTCCAAGCAACATTCCAGCATCCATTTCCTGTACACAGCATTCCAGGTGTGGTCTAACCAAGACGGAATAGAGGAGTAGCATTACTTGCCTAGATCTCTCTCACACCAGAAGTTACGTGCAGTTTCTCAAGTCACTCTTGACATGGAAAAAGAAACTGAATCCACCTCTGGATGTAGCTGTTTTCCCTCAGCCACCCTTTTGATGATCTGAAGACACCACACTTGTCCACTAGTGGGCTTCTCATGGTCCTTTAGACCAGTGGTTCTCAACCTTCCTATTGCCATGACCCCTTAATAGAGTTCCTCCTGTTGTGGTGACCCCCCAACCATAAAATCATTTTCATTGCTACTTCATAAATGTCATTTTGCTACTGATATCAATTGTAATGTAAATATCCGATGTATTTTCATTTACTGGACTAAATTTGGCACAAATACCCAATACACCCAATTTTGAATACTGGTGGGGTTGGGGGGGGGGGATTGATTTTGTCATTGGGGAGTTGTAATTGCTGGGATTTATAGTTTACAATCAAAGAGCCTTCTGAACTCCACCAATGATGGAATTGAACCAAACTTGGCACACAGAACTCCCATGACCAACAGAAAACACTTTGGCGGGACCTTGAGTTTGGGAGTTGTAGTTCACCTACATCCAGGTAGAGCACTGTGGACTTAAACAATGATGGATCTGAACCAAACTTGGCATGGATACTCAATATGCCCAAATGTGAAGAGTGGTGGACTTTGCGGAAAATAGACTTTGACATTTGGGAGTTGTCGTTACTAGGATTTATAGTTTGACTACAATCAAAGAGCAAAGAGGGGAAGATAAGACATTTACACCAGTGTTTCTCAACCTTCCTAATGCCACGACCCCTTAATACAGTTCTTCATGTTGTGGTGACCCCCAACCATAAAATTATCTTTCGTTGTTACTTCACAACTGTAACTTTGCTACTGTTATGAATCATTGTATAAATATCTAATATGCAGGATGTATTTGATACCAATATGCGATATGCCCAAATTTGAATACGGGGGGGGGGGGGGGGGGGGGGGGGGGGGGGGGGGCGGGGGCGGGGGGGTAACTGATTTTGTCATTTGTGAGTTGTAGTTTCTGGGATTTATAGTTAAACTACAATCAAAGAGCGTTTCTGAACTCCACCAATGATGGAATTGAACCAAATTTAGCACACAGAACTCCCATGACCAACAGAAAATAATGGAAGGGTTTGGTGGGCATTGACCTTGAGTTTTGGAGTTGTAATTTCACCTACATCCAGAGAGCACTGTGGACTCAATGATGGGTCTAGACCAGCGTTTCTCAACCTGGGGTCAGGACCCCTGGGTGGGTCACGAGAGGGTGTCAGAGGGGTCACCAAAGACCATCAGAAAACAGTATGTTCTGCTGGTCGTCTGGGTTCTGTGTGGAAAGTTAGGTCCAATTCAAAGTTGGTGGGGTTCAAAATGATCTTTGATTGTAGGTGAACTTTAAATCCCAGCAACTACAACTCCCAAATGTCAAGGTCTATTTTCCCCACACGCCGCCAGTGTTCGCAAGAGAAAATACGGGAAGGGTTTGGTGGGCATTGACCTTGAGTTTGGGAGTTGTAGTTCACCTACATCCAGAGATCGCTGTGGACTCAAACAATGATGGATCAGGACCAAACTTGGCACGGATACTCCATATGCCCAAATGTGAACACTGGTGGAGTTTGGGGGGGGGGGGGAATAGACCTTGACATTTGGGAGTTGTAGTTGCTGGGATTTATAGTTCACCTACAATCAAAGAGCATTCTGAACCCACCAATGCTAGAATTGGGCCAAACTAACCCAACATGGAACCCTCATAACTAACAGAAAATACTGTGTCTTCTGATGGTCTTTGGTGACCTCTCTGACATCTCCTCGCAACCCCCACCAGGTTGAGAAACACTGATTTACACGGTTGAGTTGTAGTTACTGGGATGTATAGTTCACCTACAATCAAAGAGCATTCCAACCTCCACCAATGAGGGAATTGAACCAAACTCCAGTGCCCTCTGGATGTAGGTGAACTACACCTACAATCAAAGAGCATTCTGAACCCCCCAGTGTCAGAACTGGGCCAAACTTCCCACACAGAAACCCCATGACCAACAGAAAATACTGTGTTTTCCAATGGTCTTTGGCGACCCCTCTGACACCCCCTCGCGACCCCTCAAGGGGTCCTGACCCCCAGGTTGAGAAATACTGCTTTAGTTGGCTCCTCCACCAACGTCGGCTCATATTCTCTTCCCTCCAGCTGCTCTGCCTGGCCATCTCCTGCCAGCATTTCCCAAATTCCCACCCAAGTCACGTCTGTTTGGGTGCCTCTGCTGGCTGAGTCCTCGCTCCCTCCCTCCCTCTGGTTTGGGAGAGGGAGAGCATTGGTCCTGAATAGCTCTACCAACCCAGGAAGGCTTGCTTCCTCTCACATCCACAGCTGATCCTTCCTCCAGGCTGGCACATCCCCCTCCCACATCACACCAACCATTCTCCACTCTCTTCCTCCCTTATGCACTGAGTCCAATTCTGCATTTGTTAGAAAGGAGGAGGAAACAGGAGAGGAGGGGCTCTCTCTCTCTCTCTCTTCTCTCATCCCCCCTTTCTCATTTTCCTCTCAGAGGAGGAGGAGAAGAGCGCAGCCTCTGTTGCTCGTTGCTGCTGTTGCTGCTGCTGCTGCTGCTTTTTGCAGGTGCCTTCGAAGGAAAACCCAGCCTCCCTCCTCCTTGGCTTTGCAGAGCTCTCGGAGGAGGATGTAAAGAGAAGGGAAGGCGTTGGAGAAAAGGACCGGAGGAAGGCGAGGAAAAGCAGAAAGAGAAGAGAAGAGAGAGAGAGAAGATGCTGTGGCGCAAGCTGCTCCCCTCTTGAGGAAGGGCTCTTTCTTTTCGCCTCCTTGGTCTTGGAAGAGGAAGAGCAGGTTGGGAAAACCTTGCCAAGGAAGGGAAGCGCAACAGAGGCTTCTCCCTGCCTCATCCCTTTCCCTTCCCATCTCAACAAGGGTCTAACAGGTTGAACTAGGGAGGAAGGAGGGTGGACTGGTGGGACTAGGATTCAGCACCGTGGAGAGCTCCCCTAAGTCCTGGTTGCTGGCTACGATTCAGCACCGTGGAGAGCTCCTCTAAGTCCTGGTTGCTGGCTATATTCGGCACCGTGGAGAGCTCCTCTAAGACCTGGTTGCTGGCTACGATTCAGCACCGTGGAGAGCTCCCCTAAGTCCTGGTTGCGTGCTACGATTCAGCACCGTGGAGAGCTCCTCTAAGACCTGGTTGCTGGCTACGATTCAGCACCATGGAGAGCTTCTCTAAGTCCTAATTGCGGTTTTGGTTTCAGCGACATGCTGCGCCAGGGCACTGAAGACGCGCATTGGGGGACCTCCTTTGGGGACCTGTTGGTCGGCCTTGGCCACTTCCTTCTCCTTCTTGGTTGAACGACAACTTGCCTGAGCCCTTTGGGGCTGGGAGGGGGATCCAGTTTCAGAAAGAGCCCTTCTCTTCAACTTCTTCACAAGCAAAAGACCCCAAGGGCCAGGAAGGAGAAGGCGGCTCCCGGGCGCCCTGGTCTCCCTCTTTCCGGAGGGGAGCAGAGCCTCTTTCTCCGGCTCCCCTTTTCCGCGGTGGGCGGGAGGCGGCCTGGCCCCTTCCTCGGCCGCCGCCGCGCAGGGACTCCCTTCTTTTCTGTGGGGCAGCGAGAGCAGCATGCCAGGGGTCCTCCCCCAAGGCAGCGCCCGCAGCCCCTCCGCCTGATCCTCCAGGGTGGCGGCCATGGCAGCGGCCATCGCCAGCTCCCTGATCCGCCAGAAGAGGCAGGCCAGGGAGCGCGAGAAGTCCAATGCCTGCAAGTGCGTCTCCAGCCCCAGCAAGACCAAGACCAGCTGTGCTGACAAGAAGAAGCTCAGTGTCTTCTCCCGGGTCAAGCTTTTTGGCTCCAAGAAGAGGCGGAGGAGGAAACCAGGTGGGTCAAGCTGGCCCGTGGGGAGGGAGCCCAGGGGAAGCCCATTGCCCAAGTGTCCTCACGCCTGTTGTGGCTCTTGGCTCTAATAGGACTAGGGTCATCACCATGGAGAGATCCTCTATGTCCAATTAAGACATAGAGGATCTCTCCACGGTGCTGACCCTAGTCCTATTAGGCTAGGACCCAGCACCACGGAGAGCTTATCTAAGTCCTAGTTAGGGCTAGTGTTCAGCACGATGGAGAACTCATCTACTTGTGTGTTAGGGTTCAGCACTGTGGACAGCTCCCATGGGTCCTAGTTGGGCTGTGGTTCAGAACCGTGGACAGTTCCTCAATGTTCTAGTTGTGGGCCATGTTTCCGCACAGTGGAGAGCTCCTCTAAGCCCTAGTTGAGGACTCAGCACCACTGAGGCTCATCTAAGTCCTAGTTGGGGCTGGAATTCAGCATAATGGAGAGCTCCTTTCAAATCCCAGTCAATGGCTGTAGTTCAGCAACATGAAGAGTACCTCTGAGTCCTAGTTGGGGTCTGCAATTCAGCAATATGTAGAGATCCTCTAAGTCCTAGAGTCCTACTCAGACCTCCTTTGAGTCCTAGTTGGGGGCTGGGATTCAGCATTATGGACAGCTCTTTTAAGTCTTAGTTGTAACTGCGATTCATCACCATGTAGAGATCCTCTAAGTCATAGTTAGGGACTGTGGTTCACTTCCACAGAGAGCTCCTTTATGTCCTGATTGAGTGCTGAAGGTTCAGCACCATGTAGAGATCCTCTAAGTCCTCGTTGAGGACTGAGATTCAGCACCACGGAGAGATCCTCTAAGTCCTAGTAGGAGACTGGGATTCAGCACCATGGAGAGATCCTCTAAGTCCTAGTGGGAATCTGGGATTCAGRARCATATAGAGATCCTCTAAGTCCTCATTGAGGGCTGAAATTCAGCGCCATGGAGAGATCCTCTAAGTCGCCAGGAGGACTGGGATTCAGCACCATGTAGAGATCCTCTAAGTCCTAGTAGGAGACTGGGATTCAGCACCATGGAGAGATCCTCTAAGTCCTAGTGGGAATCTGGGATTCAGCACCATATAGAGATCCTCTAAGTCCTCATTGAGGGCTGAAATTCAGCACTATGTAGAGATCCTCTAAGTCCTAGTAGGAGACTGGGATTCAGCACCATGGAAAGATCCTATAAGTCCTAGCAGGAGACTGGGATTCAGCACCATGGAGAGATCCTCTAAATTATTAGTTCTCAACCTGGGGGTTCCCAGGTGTTCTTGCCTACAATTCCCAAAAATCCCAATCAATTTACCAGCTGTTAGGATTTCTGGGAGTTGAAGGACAAAAAAATCTGGGGACCCACAGGCTGAGAACTACTACTCTAAGTCCTAAATGGAGACTGTGGTTCACTACCATGAAGCTCCTCTATGTCCTGGTTGAAGGTTCAGCACCATGTTGTGGCTGGGGACTGCGATTCAGCACCATGGAGAGCTCTGTCACATCCCAATTGGGCCTGTGGTTCAGCACTGAGTAGAGCTCCTATACATCCTAGTTGGTGTTGAGATTCAGTACCGTGGAGAACGCTCCCTAAGTCCTAGTTAAGGCTGGGATTCTGCTCCATGAAGAGACCCTTTTGAGTCTTCTGCTTCCATGAAAGCCACATGGAAAGTACACACACACCAAATTTAGACCATGCCTAATATTGCCAATTTAATGTGGGTTGGGAGGTCCTATCTGGGCTGCTCCCTGAACTTATGGGCTAATGTGTGCAGCTGCCTTATTCTGAGTCAGTCCATCCAGATCATTAATTCATCCTTTTCTTGCCTGTCTCCTTTGGGGTCCCAATTCCAGGACTTTTCTGTGCATTTTGCCATGGAAAGCCAAGCCCCTTCCTTGTAATCTGCCATAGCCATTTCATGTTTTACAGTTGAGACCTGATGCACAAAGCCAGCATGATTTATTAATCGGAGCATTCAAGTAGTCACTAGAGTGGTAGGATTTGGATTTGTGTTTAGCCATGGGAACCCATGTAGTGACTTTGGACATGTCACACTCTCTCAGCCTCAGATGGAGGCAAGGGCAAACGGAAAAAATCTTGCCAAGAAAACCCCATGATAGGTTTGACTTACAATCATAGAATCATAGAGACCTCATGGGCCATCCAGTCCAACCCCTCTGCCAAGAAGCAGGAATATTGCATTCAAATCACCCCTGACAGATGGCCATCCAGCCTCTGTTTAAAAGCTTCCAAAGAAAGAGCCTCCACCACACTCTGGGGCAGAGAGTTCCACTTCTGAACGGCTCTCACAGTCAGGAAGTTCTTCCTCATGTTCAGATGGAATCTCCTCTCTTGTAGTTTGAAGCCATTGTTTCGTGTCTAAGTCTCCAGGGAAGCAGAAAACAAGCTTGCTCCCTCCTCCCTGTGGCTTCCTCTCACATATTTATACATGGCTATCATATCTCCTCTCAGCCTCCTTCTTCAGGCTAAACATGCCCAGCTCTTTAAGCTGCTCCTCATAGGGCTTGTTCTCCAGACCCTTGATCATTTTAGTCGCCCTCCTCTGGACACATTCCAGCTTGTCAATATCTCTCTTGAATTGTGGTGCCCAGAATTGGACACAATATTCCAGGTGTGGTCTAACCAAAGCGGAATAGAGGGGTAGCATGACTTCCCTAAATCTAGACACTATGCTCCTATTGATGCAGGCCAAAATTAATACATGGCTTGGCTATCATATTTCCTCTCAGCCTTCTCTTCTTCAGCCCAGCTCTTTAAGCCGCTCTTCATAGGGCTTGTCCTCCAGACCCTTGCTCATTTTAGCTGCCCTCCTCTGGACACATTCCTGTTGTCAACATCTCCCTTCAATTGTGGTGCGCAGAATTGGACACAATATTCCAAGTGTGGTCTAACCAAGACCTGGAATATTTTGTCCAATATTCCAGGTCCAACTTAAAGTCTCTATATGTCATAAATGACTTGAAGGCACATAGCAAAAACACTTTGTGCTTTGCTACATGGCAAGAGGGGGTTGGACCAGATGATTCTTGGGGTCTCTCGCAACTGTGAATCTATGATTCTCTAGAAGGCTCCAACCAATACATAACACAGGTTGAATCCATTCTGTGGATTGGGGGGGGGGGGGACACCAAAAGAGCACAACAGGATCTCCATATATTGTATCTATCTGTATCTATCTGCTTCCAGATTTGAAAAAGCAAGGCATAAATTTTCTTTAGATTTGTTTGTGCACCTTGGAAATGTCTGTCTTGGGTTGTTGTAGGATTTTTCGGGCGATATGGCCATGGTCTAGAGGCATTCTCTCCTGACATTTCACCTGCATCTATGGCAAGCATCCTCAGAGGTAGTGAGGTCTGTTGGAACTAGGAAAAAGGGGTTTATATATCTGTGGAATGACCAGGGTGGGACAAAGGACTCTTGTCTGCCGGAGCTAGGTGTGAATGTTTCAACTGACCACCTTGATTAGCATATGGTAATGGTACTCAACTTTAAGGCCTTGCATGGTCTGGGGCCAATGAACCTGAGGGACCGCCTCACCCCCTACCAACCCCAGAGATCCCTCCGTTCTGAGGACCAAGATCTATTGGAAATTCCCAGTGTCAAGACCTTGCGTCTAACAGCAACCAGACGCAGAGCCTTTACAGCAGTGGCACCATCTCTCTGGAATACTCTGCCACCTGAAGTCCGTGCCTTGCAGGACTTATCAGCTTTCCGCAGGGCATGTAAGACATACCTGTTTCGACAGGCCTTTGATTTTTAATATTGCTGTTTATAAACTATTTTAAATTGTTTTTAAATTGTGTTAGATTTTAGCCATTCGTGTAAGCCACTCTGAGCCCCAGGGGAGTGGTGGCATATAAGTTCAAATAATAAATAAATAATAAATAAAATAAATAAATATAATTGTCTGACAGTGCCTAGAGCAAACTTTTGTTGAGAGGTGATTAGTCTGTCTGACTTGCTGTTGGATTAGATGAACCTCCAATTATATCAGAAGAAGGTTTATGTCCTCATAAATTTCTGGCACAGAAGATACCTTGTTATGGGATGAACATGATAATATACTAATAATAATATAAACTATAAAATATAATAATGGCAATACTATAAAATAATAATAATAATAATAATAATAATAATAATAATAATAATAATAATAATAATATACTTTATTTATTTATAATGGAGCCCCCGGTGGCGCAGTGGGTTAAAGCGCTGAGCTGCTGAGCTTGTTGACCAAAAGGTCACAGGTTCGATTCCGGGGAGCGGCGTGAGCTTCCGCTGTCAGCCCTAGCTTCTGCCAACCTAGCAGTTCAAAAACATGCAAATGTGAGTAGATCAATAGGTGGAAGGTAACGTGACTCCATGCAGTCATGCCAGCCACATGATCTTGGAGGTGTCTAGGGCCAACACCAGCTCTTCGGCTTAGAAATGGAGATGAGCACCACACCTCAGAGTCAGACATGACATGTCAGGGGACAACCTTTACCTTTACTGTATACTTAGGAGCCCCCGGTGGCGCAGTGGGCTAAACCCCTGTGCCGGCAGGACTGAAGACCGACCTGTCGGTCTCCAGTCCTGCTGGCACAGGGGTTTAACCCACTGCGCCACCGGGAAGTCCCATGACCAACAGCAAATACTGGAAGGTTCTGGTAGGTACTGACTTTGAGTTTTGGAATTTTAGTTCGCCTACATCCAGAAAGCACTGTGGACTCAAACAATGATGGATCTGGACCAAACTTGGCATGAATATTCACTAATAAACCTTGACATTTGGGAGTTGCAATTGCTGGGATTTATACAATCATTCTGAACCCCACCAACAATAGAATTGGGCCAAACTTCCTGCACAGAAGCTCCATGATCAACAGAAAATATATTTTTATTATGGTCTTTAGCAAGCCCTTTGACAAGCCATCACAACTCCCAGGTTGAGAAACACTTCATTAGGGGGAAAGCAGAACATGTTCCTCCAACGTATTCGTAAACA